TTTTTTCTTTTTGCTTATGTGGTGCTGAGGAATCGAACCCAGGGCCTCAGGCATGCAAGGCAAGCGCTCTACCACTGAGCCACCTTCCCAGCCCCAACCACCATCATTGTTAATGTCATACCAGCATCATCACCATCGTCACTATCTCACTATCATCATCATCATCATCCCAATCATCATCATCATTTATGAATGACCAATCTAAGTAATTTAAATAATTATTTATGTGAGTAGATATAATGATGTTATCAGTGTTGTCAGTCTTAAAATAGTGATTTAGTAATCACAGTGATTTTGGTTCCTCTAACCAAATTCTAAAGGTCAGTACTTACAAAAGCACATGATGTACATTTACTACAATAATTTTCATACATAAATCTAAGCATACAGCACTGAAATTCTTTAAACGGTAGCATTAAATAAATTCAGAAACTTTGACTTATCCAATGGATTAAAACATAAGTTCTATATTTTCTTTTCGTAGATAAATAGTTCAGCTTACCTTATCGAGTTCATCTGAAATCGCAATACCTGGGATTCAAAAGAGATTTATAAGAGACTTTTAGAAGCAATGCTTAATAGCCAAAATTAAAAATCAAACCAAAGGTTCTATTTGTAAATCTACTGAATGTCCTATTTCTTTTCACTAATTCTTCAAAATAATGTGGCATACCCTTCCTACTAATGAAAACAAATTAGGCGTCAGGTCAACTATGGTAGCCATGAAATGATGAACAAAGCAAATGGTGTGAGAAAACCAGACAAGGACCATGGTTCTTGTAGATTGTTTGCTGCTACTAACAAATTCACAAGGACACATATGCAAATGCTGTTATGTTAGGATAGTGATCAAGCACAGTGTAGCCTATTACAATTTTGCCCCTTCTCAACAACTGAGGGAGATTCAGAGAATGACTAGGTACTTGGGCATACCTGTGTCTGAAGATCACTTACTTTAATTTCCTTATTTAGTTTAGGATGAAACCAGCTACAGAGTTTAAGGCCCTTCGAGTGACAGATTCTTGAGCCAATGGATGAATGGCTCCTCCTTACAACTTCTTCTATCATCTACATTCTACTCATTACATTTTACCTGTTCCTCCTTCCTTCCTTCCTTCTTTTCTTCTTTCTTTCTTTCTTTCCTATCTTCCTTCTTTCTTTCCTTCCTCCCTCCCTCCCTCCCTCCCTCCCTTCCTTCCTTCCTTCCTTCCTTCCATCCTTCCTATAAGTACCACACACTAACCAATTGCTCCACTGGAACTCCTCCTTTCTTCTTTCATTCCTTTCTTTCTTCCTTCTTTCCTCCTTCCTCCTCCCTTCCTCCCCCCCTTACTCCCATGCTTGTTTATGTTTTATCTTTTGAACAACAGTGTACCTAAGACTGAATACAGGCACTGTGTATGGACACAGGTGCGTTCAAATTGCACAGCAATTGCACAATAATTTCCATGATGTTTTTATTTGTCACTATGGGAAAACATTACAGCCTAAGTTTCACTCCAGGGGTTGGTAAGTGAACCTTAACAATTATTCAAGGTTGTTCTGGGTTGTATAATCAGATCCCTCACAGAATTCAAGGAGAGATACTCTTCACAGAAAATTCTCAGGGGAGCTGGCTCCTATCACTGCTGAATATGAGGCCGGGGATAACTGACATGTGGTTCCAAAGTCATGAAGAGACGGAAGACAGATAGGGCATCCCAGAGCCTGCTGGGAAATTGCAAATCTATCAAAGGCCAAACATAAGTCAGACATTTGTGTATGTTGAAGTTTTAATATTGTCAATGATTAGTTTAAATAACTCTGATTTTAAGAAAATGTAGAAACTCTGACATACCTATGTATGTCAATATGTACAGTAATTAAAAGTGCATGATTCTAGTTCATGAAAGCCAATCTTACCTTTTTAAATTTACTTTTATCTATTTTATTTCCTTATTTATATTATAAAAGTGATGCATAGAGAGATTCCAATTACATAGGTCAGGTAATGAGTACATTTCTCTTCCCTCGTTTTCTCCTAATTTTTTCCCTCCTGACCCTCCTCTCCCACAAGTTGTATAGGTCATTTTTAACATAATGTGTGCCATGTCACCGCTGCATTTGTTCACCCTTTGTTCCACTATTTCTGTGCTCTCTCTTACCCTCCCCCAAACAAATAAAATAACATACAAGATACAGGGTACATAATTAAAACAGCAACAAAGGAGAAAAAAAAACAAAAATAAAAAAGCAAAATAACAAAAAACATTATTTCTAGTTCTTGGCGTTCATTTCAATAAACTATTTTATATAACCATATGCAAATAGCTATTAAGCCTTTGTGATCTAATCCTAAGAATATCTCCTTTGGTCTCATTGTGTGAATGTCTAGAGTCCTATATAATTTATCATGTGTAAGTGTAATATTTTTGTCTTTACTACCCATTATATTTACTTGTAGAGCTTTAGATACATTCTAATTACTAAAAATTAGGAAAACTTTGCAAGCTATATTTCTTTGGGTCTGGCTTGATATAATTTTTCCTGTCCTTCCATTTCCTTAGTCTTTTGAGGAACCTCCACACTGCTTTCCAGAGTGGCTGAACAAGTTTACACTCCCACCAACAGTGTAGGAGCATTCGTTTTTGGCCACATCCCCACCCGAATCTGTTATTGTCAGTTTTCTTGTTAATAGCCATTCTAACTAGGGTGAGGAGGAATCTCCATGTTGTTTTGATTTGCCTTCCTTCCTTCCTCCCTCCCGCCCTCCCTCCCTCCCTCCCTCTCTCTCTCTCTCTCTTTCTCTCTCCCTGTCTCTCTTTCTCTTTCTTTCTTTCCTTCCTTCCTTCTGCTAGTTGTGGGGCTTGAACTCTGCCTGGGCCTGGGCATTATCCCTGAGCTCTTCAGCTCAAGGCTAGTGCTCTGCCACATTGAGCCACAGCACAGTTCCAGTTTTCTTGGGGTTTATTGGAGATAAGAGTCTCACTGACTTTCCTGCCCAGTCTGGCTTTGAACTGCAATCCTCAGATCTCAGCCTTCTGAGTAGCTAGGATTACAGGCGTGAGCCACCAGCACCTGGCTTGTATTTCTTTCATGGCCAGAGGTGTCAAGTATGTCTTCATGAGTCTATTGGCCATTCTTCTTCTTGTGAGAAGTCGCTCTTTAAATCTTTAGCCCATTTATTAATTGAGCTGTTTCCTTGAGGACTTGTTTTAGGGATGTTTAATTTTTTGAGCTCTAAGTATATTTTAGACATGAGGCCCTTCTCTGATACATTGTTAGTAAAGCACATTTCTATTGATCTTGCTAGCTATGCCCTTTGCCATGCAGAAACTTTTAAGTTTGATGCAATCCCATTTATCCAAACTTTGATTATGCTTATATTTGCATTTAATACAGTTCTACAGAAATGCTCCATTTCAATATGAATCCAAGATCAAGACTGAATATTTTACTTGAATATACACATTTAAAAGACTAAGATATATTTTAAAGGAAAAAGAAGAGTAGAAAATATGAAGTGGCATTTTCTTTCTTATCAAGTGCTGCAAAGCTTAGCTGTCTGTACCTAAGTAACTCATGGTTCAAGTGCTTGAAACTCTCTTGATTTTGTTAAGTTGCTTCTCTAATACCTTCAACTTGGAAAAAGAAAACTCTTTCTTAAAACTCATTCAAGCTTCAGAAAGCTATGAGTTGATCTTTAAATTCTTTTACACCTCAGATTTATGAATCCATTATTCATAGGATAGCACCAATACATCACTTTTCTGGAAGGTAGCCAAGAACTAAAAAGTGAGTTAAACAATAAAGGCAAAAAATGTGTCTCATAGTACTAGCTCCTCTCTTTTAGCAAACAACTTGGGCGGCTTTTGAGAGATAAAAACCTTCCACAGTGGAGAATGGAGGAGATAAATGCTGTGCTTAAGATATAATTCTGCATAGGAAATAGTATGCCGACACTAGCATAAAATTCAGCTTAATAAATAGAAAATGTTATTCAGATATGGAACTATGTCTCTCATGACTTCATGTGTTTTGTCTGACTATACTTTATTCAAATATGCATTACCATTTTTCTTAATCTTTACACATATTCTTATTATCTTTAGGTAGTTGTGTAAAGAACTTGCCATTTAACAAAGCAATTTATGAATAAAATATATCTTGATCAATGTCATCCTTTTAAACATTTTTACTTATCTCTCTCCTACCCACACCTTCCCTCGCTCTTCTTAATTTTGTAGGTCTTTGATGACTTTTCCTAAGAAATTATCCAAATAAATCTCCCTTCTATTATATATAACATTTCCAATTTTCTATTATCATTGTCAAATTGCCTAGGGTATCTTTTACTTCTTCATTTCATTTTTAATCAAAGCTTATACTGATTAAAAGTAGTTGCAAGAATTCTAATGAAACACTTCACAGAAGCACAAAGTTTGAGTGGGAATCATATAAACTGAGTAGCCAGAACATTCTTCCCAGAGCCTAACAATATCCACAGCAATTCCCTGAGCAAAGCTTAGTAACTTTTAGGTATTTCATTCACTCCGAAAAGCCATCGTCCTTTATATTTAGGATTTTTTTAAGGTTATAGATAGTAGCGATCTGTAGTAAACAGAAAACAGACACATGAAAACGTAGGGAATTACTAGGAAATATAAGAAAAGATGGCCCAGTGTCTGAGTATGGGAATTCATGATGCAGAAGAAGCAAGAGTCCTTGTGAACATGGAAATGGGAGCTTAGAGTAAATGTCCTTTAGTGCAGCCAAAGAGGGGTGGCTTGCTGTAGATCAAGTGAAGAACTGAGCTGACTGAAAGAAAGAGCAGAAACCAGTTGTCTTTTAAAAGTCAGCTTTTCAGCTGAGCACTGGTGGCTCACACCTCTAATTCTAGCTACTCAGGAATCTGAGATCTGAGTATTGCAGTTTGAAAAAAGCCTGGGAAGGAAAGTCAGTGAGACTCTTATCTCCAATAAACAACCAAAGAAGCCAGAAGTAGAGCTGTGCCTCAAGTGGTAGAATGCTAGGCTTGAGCAAAAGAAGCTCAGAGACAGTCCAAGCTCTGAGTTCAAGCCCCAGGACTGGCACACACACACACACACACACACACACACACACACACACACACACACACACACACACACACCACATACATAGTCATCTTTTTTATCAGGTTTCCATGGCTCACACCTGTAATCTTCCCTACTCAGGAGGCTGAAATACGAGGTTCAAATCCAACCCAGGCTGGGAAGTCTGTGAGACTCATCTCCATTTAACCACCAACAAGCCATAAATGGAAGTATAGCTCAAGTAGTAGAGTGCCAGACTTCAATGAAAAAGCTCAGGGACAGAACCTAGGTCCTGAGTTCAAGCCCTAGGACTGCTGCAGAACAGAAAAAAGTCAGTTTTTCTTCTAGGTTAAGAAACAATGACTGCCACAGGCATGTCAGAGGTGGATTTCATGATGCGACTATAGTGCAAACTGATCTTGATGGTTTCCATTTATGTCCTTCAGTTTATGGACCTTTTTATTCATTCTAAAGAAG